ATGCTTTGAAATCCTGAAGGACTAAAAATGTGACTAATAAATATAATAAGATTTAATTAATACTATTTTTAACTATATTATAATACCTATATTGCCTTATTATATTTTGTTTCACACTCTTATAGCACCACAAACTGTCATTGGGGCGGAATAAACATCGCGTGTCTCAAAACTTGACAAAAATCGGATTATTGTCAATATCAATAAGATAAGTGTAGCAGAAAATATTTTATGACAATAATATTATATTTATTCTATTTTCACAAGGCACAAGCAATTGCTCACATTGAAAAGTACTTATAAATATCAAAAAATGAAAACGATCAAATTTTTCAGCTAAAAATATTCTAATCCTATAATAATAATGGTGACACTTTGCACTAATTAAATATTTTAAAACAAATATCTTCTCTACAATAGGCACAAAAATACATCTCTACTCGGCAATAGTAAGACTCAAAATTAGATATATATGCGGATTATGGCCCCTGACAGCACGAGTTACAAAAACTTAGAACCTTTGAAAACAAAGTACTAAGAACAATATTTGGACCCGTATATTATGATGATGTAGGTATCCAATTGCTGATGAAGAAGCAAAAAAATTAGAGGTAAGGGAAATTACGAAAATACCAGTAATATCAAGTTATATGAAAGGATAAAGGCTAAAATAGTTCATGTTAAACTGAGAAAGGCCACACACAAAGCTAGAGCAATATTATGGATTGGCAACCAGAAAGGAAGAGCTGACCACGAAGGAGACCAAAAAATCTGTTAAAAAAAGTTGAGAACTGGGAAGAATTGGCCCAAGATCGTGCACTCCCATGGGAGTGGGAGAGCATTGACTGTGGTGGCATAAACTCTAATAGTATCATGAAGGCATATTATGATGATGATGAAAATTATTCTCGATTTTACATAATATCTAAAATATATTGGCCTTAATTAAAGTAATTATTTTTAAAATAAAATGAACACTGAGCGTTTTATTATTTCGTATACCTCACCTACCTATTTATTACAATAAATACAATGTAATGAACCGGTTAGTGTCATAATCAAACCAACAAATCCGTCAATACATCATAATTTACTGTTTTCCTAATTTTTTTTTTATTTTATACAACAATTATTGTTTAATCGAAACGCAGTGTTTAGACTATAAACCAATGGTCGGCAAATACACTGATAAATCAATATACTACCTCACCCCAACGATATTTTACTTTAATGCTAATTTTTTTTTCATTATCTGACTCGATGGAGACCCAAAATAACTTGCTAAGCAAAATTTAATTAAGGTTTTCTGTACCTACCTCTAAATATTTTTTTCAAATCACCCGGAATTAAAAACTAATTTCCGACAACTTTAAGCCATTGTTTTTTTTTATATCGTTTGATAATATATTGTTAACAATTATGTTCGTCTTGATTTTAAATATTTATGAAAATAGCCTGTTTCCTTAAGTCTAGACTAGATTAACGAATAGTTACCCTTTGGGGCCAAGTGTATAGTTTATCGGGGCGTGTCAGTTCGACTATATTACAATATACTATTACGTGAACTTTATACAGTTTGCCTTCAGACCAATCGATGACCAAAGGGCTATAATGGGTCCACACTCGCATACGAGCATTGATTTAAACGGTCAAGTCATATGCAATTCATAGCACGCTAGGTACTAGGTATCTTTAAGAGGAAAATGTATGAATCAGAAATAATATGTTATTGTCAATAAGTAACCGTGACTACGAAAACCTTGTAGTTAATTCTATAATAACGAATTGTATTAAATATTAATTATTTTGTAAATTATTTGTTTTATTCGTAGCAATAAACAATAAACTGTATACCTATCTACATTTGAATGTCTGCAATTTTAGACGGACGAGCTTGGTACAAGTGACAGTTTGACAATATTCTCTAAAACACAATTTACTCGTACGCCGAACGTCATGTGGCCGACCGCTTTGACCAAGGTCTCCAACCACAAGCTGAGACCCGAAGGGGTCGGAGCGTAGTGGACTTTTGTAGTTGTGATAAGAATATAATGAGATGTAACGGGACAGAAGGATGAAACGACATGTATACTAGTAATAATAATAAAAAAGGTGCTCAGCTGTACAATAGGTTACAAGTGGGTCACTGTATAATGGATGGTATTAAATTTGAATTCAATGATAAATATCATTGTATAAGAAAAACGATTCTGAGCGGAGACGTTATGTCAGTCTAAGTATAAGACATATCGTACAAATATCTATGGTATTAAAAAAAAAATTGACCTATAATACATATAGGTACCTATAATAAATTCTAAATTAATCATATCACAATATCCATTAGGGAACTTATAACGCGTTATACATCAACAACAAACCCTGATACTATCATAGATATATAATAGCGTACTTTAGAAGTTTCAAGTACCAACGAATAATATTATACAATCAAAACAAAATAACAATAATAGTTATTCTAGGTTTTTTATTATGTCATTTCGTCCAAATTTGAACTTAAAATTACTATAAGAATACACTGTGCTTATGTATTTTTTAGATTTTTTAGTAACAGAATTAACAACTTACATGGAATCTTGTTTTACATTTTCAATCCTTAGATATAAAAGTTAAACATTTTATAAATTTTTAACTACAAAATAATTATTCAATTTTAAATTTAATAAATGTTGTCAAAATTTGATCTTTAAATGCTTATAAAAAAAAATTGTGCCTGTTTATTTTTAATATTTTTCAACTGCTATTGTAACAATATATCAGGAGCCTTGTATTACATTTTTACACTTTTTGGCCCAACAGATAAAACTTTATTGATATTCATAGAAAAAAAATAAAAAAATTTAAATATGAAATTATCCGTAAACAGCTCAAAAAGCGTCAAAATATTTTGAAAATTTTATCAAGTAGTCATTCGTTTTTGAATTATATCAAAATAAGAAAATCGTTACATGAGAAATGGAGTGAATAACCAATTTTGTACAAATATGAATTTAAAATGCTCATAAAAATTTAATTTCACTTTCCGGTAGACATTTTTTTTTATAAAGATAAACAAACTTATGAAAAATCTTGTATTATATTTTCAAATCTTAGATTTAAAAAGAAAAATTTTCATGAACTTCTAACTAAAAATAATTTGCAAAATGTTGTGTTTTTTCCGTATTTTGTCAATATTTGAACTTTAAATGCTTATAAAAAAAAGCTGTGAATAACGATTTTTAATATCTTCCAAACGTCATAGTAACAACATAATAGGAGCTTTGTATTAAATTTTCAAGCTTTTTTACCTAACAAATAAAGTTTTATTGACATTCATAGATAAAAACCTAAAAAAGTTCGTAACTGAGTATATCCGTTAACCTCTCAAAACTAGATCAACAACTAGATTCACTTTCCCATCGAACAAGATCCTGTTGAAGAAAATCGAAGCAGTTTTACTGCCCCAAACCGTGATGACAAACACAAAAAAAAAAACACACATCATTGTAAAATCAATACATTCATCATTCCACTCAGAATCTAAAAATCGAGACATCAATCGAGTGTATATATTATAAATTTATTGAGTTTATGGAACAACAAAAGAAAGTGAGTGCCAATTATACCTACCAAATAATTTATTTCGACAACGACCTACTCTTATAGATACATTATCTATTTAAATAATATTATAATTTAATTACAGATTGACTATCATTATCATTATGGTTGCTATTATTTATAAATTGTTGACCACATATGATATGGCCGATACGGGCCATACGGGATCCAACACATTGGTATTTATAAAAATAATCATATATCATGGGCCAATATTATATTTCGTTCAAAGAATAAAATTAATTTTCATGATTTATAATATGTTTTGTCACAAATTTAAAACTATTTTTCTGGATCGGAAAAAAAGTTATTTTTTAATGAATAAAAAATAAAAATAAATGTATTCAGAATACGCATTCGAATACTTTTTAAAAAAAGTATTCGAATAAAAAAAAAGTATTAAAATACTTTTATTCGAATAGATCGAGGTATTTGAATACTATACAAGACTGCTAGGTATGTACCTTCAATTCGGAAACATTGTGCGCTAGAAAATGTTTACTACCTATGACGAAAGTGGTTTAAAACACACATAATAGACATAATCGACACATAGTAACACATGTAGTGTCACTGATATCGTACCTACCATAGTATTATACGAACACGATATATTGTCATGTAACAAGCAGTCTGCTCTCAGAAACTCTGTTCCGCCTGTCTCGCACAGCGCATTGTGTTCAAAGCTAGTTACAAATGCTAAGCCTTAACTTAGGTACTATTACTGTTACTAATTATTGCGAGATTTAATTAAAACTGTTTTATTCAAATTAAAAAGTGTTTAAAATCATTGAACTACCTAAGAATTCAATTCTTTGTTCTGAGTTCATTCGCTCTGCGGACTTTTATCTCCTGAGCTCGCCTCAATGAAGATACTCAATACTTGCCCACTGTACACAAGTAAGACATTATATTAATATATTAATTCATAACCAATAGTAATTTGTAATAATGTTAATGAATGAAATCATCAAATAATCCAGTATTATTTCCCAAATTTATAAATTGTAGATTTTATTTAAACAGTAAAAAAACTTTTAGTTTTGTATTCTTGATCAGTATAACTAAAAAAGCTTTTATAAATAATGATCGTACACAATAATCCAGATATTTTTAGATTTACAAAAACAACAAATATCTCGTTGCCATGAATGTTTGAAAAATCTACAATTCGTGTCCCTATTACATAGTATAACCACACTTATCAATGACCATTACCATTTCATTACGAATAATTTTTCTTACAGTCCAACAGTTTTATCGTACCTATAATATATTGATTATTATTCTATATTATATTTCTATCTGATTAATATATTATATCTGACAATAACAGTTTCACCTTGTGCGGAAGCTCGTCCGATATCAACACCGAAATAATGGAGCAACCGTCGGCGATGGCATCTACATTGACCGACGACTTACAGGTGGATTCCGATCAGTGGTCGTTCAATTTAGCGCCACTACTGTACCCGAATGACGAACAGTCTGAAGTTGAAAGCTTGCAGGCGTGCGATGTCATGTGCAATTGTCCATTGACAGACAGTGTATATAATATGGAGGACGACGATGCAAACACAACGGATTCAACGGAAGACGACCCTTCACAGACCGTGAGGCCACGAATTGTATGTGCTATCAGTGAGCTCCGTGACCAACACCCGACGACTACGACATTGACTTCGGTGGAGTTCAAGGTGTTGGACGAGCTCACCGAAGAGTTACTGGTGACAGCCGTAAAGAAGTCGTTAAATGTACCACCCGTATCGTTGTGTCTGAATGATGAACAGTCGTCACGTGATGATGATAGTATTCCTTCACCTGTAAAATGGATTATGGTACCGAGGGTCTTGGACAAGTTGCTGGAGTTTGAAGAAGTCTCGTCAGAAATCAAAAACGCCGATACAACGTACGAAAATCACCTGCCGCCATTACCGCCGTGTCTCGTGAGTGCGCCAGAACTGGAAACACGACTGCAGCAGGGCGAGTCTCCTTCGATCGACATATCGACGCCAACATTTGTATCTGTGCCGAACTGGGCCGAGCGTCCGGATTTAGATGTTGAGACACCAGGTCCTGCAGAGATCGCATCCACGCCAAATCGAATGTCTCCACAGGTCGCCGGCGAGATCTGCATACCGGAACATCTTGATTCCGATTATTCACTAGAGACCAGGCCACGTGATTGTATGACGGATATCGCTGTGATTCCAGCTGGCGATGCTCTGGATTTGCCTTCTGTCACTCCCTGTGAGACGGAGTTTCCGGATTTGAATACCGCGAAAAACACGGATGTAACTGCCGTTGAACGCAGACGTCCGGTTCCACACAGTTCATTTTGGAGGTGGACCAAACAATTTGTAAGACGATTGTTTTGTTGTGGTTCTATGAACCAGAAAAATATATATCATATAGTTTTGAAACGTCCCCTCTAACTGTTATCTCCGCTCTTCCCCACATGTTATGTGCCGTTTCGCGTATATCTTAAAGCTGTATAGGTATATCTGTATACTTTCTAACTTCATGTAAATAATTTCATATTGTATATATTGTAATCATATTATGTGTAATAAATTATAAATTGTATATATTATAATCATATTCTGTGTAATAACTTATAAATTGTATAATGTAATAACCTAATAATCAAATAATAACTTATAAATTGTATATATTATAATCATATTCTGTGTAATAACATATAAATTGTATAATGTAATAACGTAATAATCTAATAGTATAATAATGTACTTACTTAATAACAATGTAATATTTATGGAACGGACTTTATTGTATTAAAAATTAAAATATCAAAACATTATGTACATAAATATGTAATTATTTTTATCAAAATATATAAAAAAAAATTTTAAAAAGGTGCTCTGCTGTATAGTAGGTGACAAGTGGGCCACTGTATAATGGATTGTATTAAATTTGAATTCAATGATATAATATCTAAATATCATGGTATAAGAAAAACGATTATGAAAATTTCTTGAAAACTGAAAATGTCCGTAAACAGCTCAAAAAGAGTCAAAATATTTTGAAAATTTTATCAAGTATAAAATTGATAAAATGAACATTCAGTGAAATATTCATGTATCTACTGCAGTTATTCGTTTTTGAATTACAACAAAATATGGAAAACGCTACATGAGAAATCGAGTGAATATCCAATATTGTAAAAATATGAAAATCAAACGCTCATAAAAATTTAATTTGACTTTCTTAGACATTTTTTTTTTTTTGATAAAGGTAGATAATCTTATAAGGAATCTTTGTATTACATTTTAAAATCTTAGATTTGAAAAAAAAAATTTTTATAAATTCAAAATAATTTTCAAATTTTCGTCATTTTTACGTAATTGGTCAATATTTAAACTTTAAATGCTTATAAAAAAAAATTGTGGCTATGGATTTTTAAATTTTTTCATCTGCCTTTGAAACAATATACTAGGAACCTTCTATTAAATTTTTCAAGATTTCGTACCCAACAAAAAAAATTTTATTGATATTTATAGAATAAAAATCTAAAAAAAAGGGGAAACTGAAAATGTCCGTAAAGAGCCCAAAATAAGTCAAAATATTTGGAAAATATTATGGTGTAATATTATTCATCAACGTTCTTCTCGGGGACATGGCCTGTGAAGACTTTAGCTGCCGTTACTCCATATTTTGATAACTAGTCTGAACGACGTCTTCGTAGATGACAGGAACGAAAGAGAAACTTTAAACCGTCTAGTCCGACTGGATGGCGTTAGCCGGTCGTCGGTAGTAGAGACAATTGACAATTGGTGGTAGGCCGGTAATATACTTAATATTAATTTTATAATAATTAAACAGTCTAAATAGTAAAATACTAAAATGTGATTGCGGGCAGAGGTGGTTGGGCGGCCGTGCGGCGGTGCGGTGGAGCACATTGACGCGAGGTTCATACAGGGGCGTCATTTGGGGTAGGGCAGGGTGTGCGACGGCACCACTGACATAATAGAATAAATAATTGGCCCTCCATTAATGCTCCTATGCGCCGATATGATTACTATTAAAAATTAATAAAATATTCTTGGCCCAGTGGCGCTGAAGTCCAACATTTTAACTATGGCATTAGACACCTCCACATAAAATTTTGACACCCAACTATTTATTATAATTACCTTACCATACGCAAAGTAAATATATATTTTGGCGCCACTGATTCATGCATGTAATTAAATTTTTTTTTTTTATCAGCTTTATTATCAAATGTATCCCTATTTGACAACCGTGTGAAGCGAGTCTTATCCTGTGGTTTTATTATGTAAGACTGTTCGTGCCAGCCTGCTGGTATCAACTATAGTGGAGTAAGCATAGCATAGCTGATAAAATAAATACTAAATACTTTAAACGGCATGGTTATTGTTTAGATATTAATGTTAAAGTTGGCCTGGTTAAATATTAAAATTGGCCTGCCTAAAATCTTGCACACCCGGAAAAAAAACTGAAATGACGCCCCTGGGTTCATATTATATTACATATACTGAAGCGAATCTCACGGTCGGGATGGCTATAAATTAAAATATAATATAATTTACACTTAAAAATACATTGCTTTCACAGCGTGTTACACCCAAAAGAAGTTGAACCATCACAAAAACCTAGCAATTATAGCAAAGCGTTGCCGTGTCAGCTAGTCCTTAATCCTTATAATTTATATAGATAACAGAACAGGCATGTTTTATGTATACCAATTTTCTGTAGACATTATTGAACTTTGTTTTAATTTTTCTACAGATTGGTTCCAAACACTTTCCTGAATGTCACCACATCACCCAACTTTTCATTTTTATTTTTTAGTCTGAGAGGGAGCGGAGAAGGGGTGTATTGTATTTATAATTTACGGTTTTTAGAGTATCATTTTAATAATATTAAGTTACGATTTTTTTTCACAAAGTTGTTCCAAATACTCCTCCGAGTGATTCATTATTTCAAATTGTATTGTTACTTAAAAAAATACAAATACTGTTGTTTAAGGAGCCGTGATTTTATTCGTCTTTTCAGTAACTGAACTGTAATCCGTTTTTATGCTCGAAATATACCTTTCATCTCTGTTGTTTGCGAGAAATATACATGGGCCGATTAAAAGCAATCTGTCGTAAATAAAGACTGGCCGAAGTTATAAACTTGTAGGTATTGGAATTGGAGATATATATTATAGGTATAGGTACTGGACTTGGTATAAAAGCACTATGGTCAAATATTGTAGAAACAGCTTCCAGACAAAACATTTTTGGTTTTACGTGTTTAGGATAAGTTTCAATATGAAAGCGTCATTATTCATATTATGTACGGTCTTAACAGTTAATAATTTTAAACTTTTTTACAATACTTTTAAAATTCCAGTTTTCTACTTGTTTTAGACATCTAGTATTTTGTTTATTTAATTTTTTTTATTACAAACCATGTATCCAATCATCAGTATAATGGTCTAAAAATACCAATTAAAACAAAAAATGGTGAAATAACTGATTGAAATGTTTATTTATGTAAAATTATATCAAATCCATATCAACGTCATCCAATATTTAAAAAAAAAAATATATAGTAGAGTATATAGTTCAGTGTCTATAGAGTACCGACTGATTTTATAGTCTGGACATATTAATCTGTTTTAATAACCGTAGACTGTGATTAATAGATATGAATTTCTATAATTTTAAACGGTAACCTAAGCCTTGGATATAACCCTGAAATGAGAGGCAGCAGTAATATGCCTATCGTCGTTAAATATAACGATTGCAAAAGTTGTAAGGAAGATACGTGTCTGAAACTTTTCACTCATATAATGGTCCTAAGGTTATCGTGAGATAATCTCGTAGACTCTGCACAGAGAAAATGATATATGATTGGTTTAAACATGATACTTTTTAGTTTTTATGATAATCATATTAATATTTTGTTTGTTTTAATTTCAATAATTAAATATTATATTAATCCGACAATAATGTTTAAACTAATATTGTATTGTATTCATGTATAATACTAATATCTATTACTGACATGTGATCCGACAAACAGTTTTTATTTTTTTAAATCGATCACAATATTTTCTGATGATTTTATTTTTTGAGAAAGGCATGACGTCGGATTTCGATATTATGTTTGAATAGTAACGAAACTTTGCTGACTAACACAGAATAGTTTTATATCCAGAACATGTAACCCCATTTCCGTACCCCTATCAATATAAGAGCCTCGTCGGTTGTCGGATTACTATTCACGGTTGAGAAATGCCAATCAACATCCGGATATCTTTGAGATTGTTTAGGAAGTTTCCAGACTCGTAGAATATCCATACAAAATTCAGAGGGTACGGGCTAATTTAGATCCGTCTAGTTTCTGCTATATATTTTTAAATCTAGTTTCTAAATCGGGACTTGAAAATGTAATGAAAGTGTTTTAAGCATTGGAACAAAATGTTTAAAATGTTCGTTACTATTATTTAAACTGAAAAGGAAAAAGGTATATGATTCAATTACCCATAAAATTATTAACGAATGGTTAAAAGAAAAATTAGAAACATCATTAAGCTACTTATAACATGTTCACCTGTTTAATATAATATTAAAGTATGAAACCATAAAATAATTAGGTCAACACAGTGGGTTGTATAATATAATATTATCATTGAGTATAAATGTATAATAATATATTGTATTCGATATGGTTTTATTAAAATACTATATTGTATTAATTGATATTATTGTTTACGGAAAAGCCGATATTGTTCATCACATAACATCAAGCGCTCTCTATTTGATTAATATATGAAGTCCACTCAAATCTAATAGTTTGGTATTTCACCGCTAGATGGGCCAGATGTTATCATTTTAAAGTTAGGAATTTTTTTCGCAATGAAAATAATATGACGTATTTCTTCTTTACCTTCCAACATAATAATTTTATTATGTTATTTCAAATAACTTTCATTGTGCACATATTTTAATTTTAAATACAATAAATTGTATTGTTCATAAATAGTTTTAATTAACTTTTCTTTTCGTCACTCCCGCATAGGGGTGCACAACTTTCATAAGACTTACCCCCATAATAGTTTGAACAACTGACTTAATAGTTAATACGTATGTATTATGTAAATTATGTATTTTGTACTTTTCTTGAACTTTTAACACCTTTTCATAATTCAATAGAACACAATGTTTACAGTTTAGGTGTACCTAATATTAAATTTTTAAATCTGACTTGACACGTCGCTTCTCACAAAGTCCGTCAAACTATTACAGGTGGTATAGGTACCTACTTGAAATGTTTTTCCTATAGTATTTTTATTATAATTATGTATCTTAGATGTATTTTGTAAACTAATGAAAGTAAATAAAATAATTACACTTGTTTATTTTCTCTGTTTACACACTACGTGCTATAATATTTTTGGTGAAATAGTATAAAATAGTCTATATTGTAGGCACATCATGTCAGTATGCTTCTCAAACTTGTTTGTGAAAAGTTTCTAATACTAAGCTAACTAAACATATGGTTAATGTTTGACAATTTCATGAACTTTAAAAAAATGAAATATTTCAAAATGTGTGAAATAGTTCAGTATTTTAATAAATTTTGTTTTATTTTTAAATTAATTTTATATTTACATATTATAATTGTCATAACTTCATAACTGTATGGTACCTGTATGTATACCTAACCTTTGATATTATACATTTAAAATGGTATTCAACATTTTTAAATATTTTAATGTTTAAATGATACAAGGTATAGAATATTATACATGTATAATGTATATTGTATACCTACTGAATTCTGACATTAGAATTTAGAACACTGAACATTGTGTTAAAAAAATTTCAATGTTTCATGTTTTTGTGAAATATTTCATACTTCAAACACTACATATGGTTATAAGTTTAAGTTTATAATTTTTTTACCATCAAAATCGTCAAAATTATTTCCTATTGTTTTTTATTTACTATATAATATAATATATACTAATATAAAGTCAATAAATTCTAAAATGAGATAAGCTTATTCAATGTAATTGTAATAATTTCATTATTATTAAATAACTAGCCATTGAAAAATATATATGTTTTTTTTTTCATAAACGCTTAGGAAAATAATTAAAATATAATAAATATATTCAAATATTTCACTGCTCCCTAGCTAGGTGGCCGGGGCACCAGTTTGAGAAGCACTGGTGTATATCATACAAATAAACAGTTTATTATTAAACCCAAAGAAAATAATAGTATGTTAAAGTGACTAGTTACTGGAGTGACTGGATAAGTCACGTGAGTAATATTTTTATATTTCCCGTATTATTACGTATGATGTGTAGGTACCTGCTGCGTCGATTGCGTCTGTTACCATGGTAAAACACGTAGGTACTGTCAACTAGTTTGTTTCATAATAATTGATATAATATTCTTGAGGTGTTTAAAACGCATTGTTCATTTTACAATAATCGCGGTTTAAGAGTTAGTTTTTGTTACACATAATCATTGTTGTTACGGGAAAATTGAAATGGCGTACCGGACAAAAATTTGCAATGAAGGCGGAATCTTCAATGCATCTAGACCATCCGAATACAGCGCAGAAACTAGGAAATATTTAAATGGTATGATATAGCATGAATTATTAAAATAAACAGTTTACAATAATTATCAAATGATAAGCAATACCCCAAAATCGTGTATCTAACCTATAAGCTATATAGGTACAAATAAGTACATCATTATTCATTAATGCGTTATTCATCTTAAAATAATATTTGTTTGAGATAAACAAAAAGATGAACCCATTGGCAATCATTTTAGGTGGCTATATTATATAATAAAATTGTAAATTGAGTCGCATTTGAAATTTGTTCACTATTATAAAAACATCGAAGCATATTAATACTATACACCAAAACGGAAAAATTCCGCGTGAAGAATAAGTTGGAAGAAACAATTTATTACTTATACACAAGTCCGGATTAATGGGTGGCCAGGGGAGGGGGTTAAGACCGAGGTCCACAACGGATATCGAACAACAGTGGGCCCCCGGCGGGTAGTACGTTTCTTATAATATATAAATAATGGATATAATATTATTATTATTTGGCCCCAGGCCTAAAATTATCTTAATCCGAGCTTGCTTGTACATAATTATTATATTATATTTTTGTTTCGCTGACTTAGTGGGTTTGTTACAAACGTCTGTATAGGGTCTTAAAACTTATAAAATTAATGTGATATTATTAGAATATTATAGGGAATAAAAATAACTTTGCTATTCAAAATGTATTCACTGTTAAGTTACAGATAGAAACATTCTGCATGTGCTTAAAACTGTTTGCGTTCTTATAAATTTTAATTAGTGTATTAATCTCATTATTTGTGATGGTCAGCTATAATATACACAAATAAAACATTTATTCTTTGGAGAAATTCCAAAGAATCATTTCATTTTGAGTCTTGAGAAATGTTTTCTCCTATTGCCAAAGGTCTGTTGGGGCAAAATGAGGGAAAAATACACAATCTCGTGTAAAATAAACCTTCAACCTAAAATAGTTATTTCACCCTCGAAATATTTGTTTAGTCGTTTTGCCTATGTACATACTGTGGATATGTAGAGAACAAAAGTTTATAAGACCGGAAAGGGTCGTTCCCACTAAAATCAAAACGAGTACCGTAGGGTAACTATTTCCTATGATACGCTAATTTTTGTATAATAAATAAAATATTATTATGTTTTGATCATTCAATGTTAATATATTTGTATAAATGTATAATATTGCATACTGTTTAAACTTTCAAGTAAATGTTGTATATGTAGATTATAATATTAGAAATAGTTTCTATTATCTATAAATGATTGATTTAAAAAAAAAAAAATACAATACGCATTGTGAACTGGACCAAAAAATATTGTATCTTAAGAAAAAAAAATGTATTACGAGTAAACAAAATATTTTATAATATAGATGGCAGTGGACGACACTTATTTTACAAAACGTTAGGTTCTGTAATAGGTTCTGATTTTATACTTTATATTATCTTAGGTACCTATATTATAATATTTTAAGATTGAAATTCTAAATAAGGTAAAAATTATACTTTTCCTTTAAAAAAAATAATAATAATACATTCGATTTTTTTTGTGGGTACCATTAACTGATATGTTCAATATTATTAATATTATACAAAGGATTTCGATAACAACAGTGCAAACAACTTACTGTAAGTCTAAAATTGGGATAAGAAATTTGGTCACGTAGAAAGATTTTGTTCAGAAAAAGATTACAAAATAATAGAAAAGTTTTATGTGTGATACCTACTACACGACTTAACAACATCTACAATAAATTGTATTTTAAATTTAGACTTGGTACTGCTTTGTACGTGTATATTACCTAGGTATATTGTATACAGAATAATAAAACATATGAGATACAAAGTACTTAATTATAAAATAATATGTAATATATTAAAATATAAAAAGCGGTCAAGTAGGTAACCCCTCTGTTGTACAGCTGTAGGTGTAGGTACCTGTATAGGTCACAGCAATGGGTGTGTTAAATTTGATTTAAAACATATTCTATAATCTATACGTTTAAAAGATTCTGAACGAAGACGTTCAACGTTTTCAGAAACCAAGGTCTTAACAGAACAATTATTTATTTATTAATACATTTTAACAGATGTTCGAATTTTTTCTTTGAAATTCAAGGTTATTTTGAAAAGCATTAGGGATTTTTTACTTTTGATTTTCCCAAAAAACAAACTATGGATTCAATTTTCTACCAGAAATCACACTCATAAAGTCAAACATCGTAGCACTCATTTTACTGTTGTAAAAAATAATTTAATTAGAAAGCACTCATAATTGTAAAACTAATACATTCATTGCTCTGATCAGAATCTAAAATTATATACACACAGTGTTGATTTTAAAATACGATGTAAAATAATATATTTAAAAAACCAGACATTTTGTTAAAATACTTGAAACATTTAATTAAACTGATATAAAGCACTGCACTATGTATCCTAATTTGAATAAAAAGCCTCTAAAATGCCTATCTAAAAATTTAATTAATTGTAATCTAGTAAATTATAAACCTACTTACCTACCTTCAACGACTAGAACAATATCTTCTTTACTGACATTCAAAGTCCTTGATGCAAAGGTGATTCAATAATCTTTTTATTGTATTGTTTGAATTGTTGACTACCAGGTCGTCGTCTGTAGAAAAATGGTACAAACAATGATGTACTAATTACTTAAATAATTTCTGGGCACCTAATGTGGGGTTTTGACAAACCTATAGCTGATAGGAGTTATCGTTTTTCTCGAATTCGGCAGAACAAATTAGTTTTTCATCAAATTTTAGGGTTGAGAACATCGCGGATTAAATCTGATATTATTTTCAGTAGGCTTCACAAAACCTCGCAGATTTTCGGTGTACACGATAATAATAATAATAACGGTAACCGCGGTATCTGATTGAAATTTTCCCGTTTTTCGCAGAGCTGATCAAGGAGAGCCGCTTAACGACGTTACAGCGGAAGTCTCTGCAGGGTTGGCTAAAATCCGGTGGGGGGGATTCGCCGTCAACAACATCGGTCCGTCCCGTTTCCGGAACGTCTGCAGCTCCCATCAAACGGTACCGGTCGACCAGGCCGCGGATGCTCAAGGACATCGTCGAGTCTGGGGCCTACGAACCGGAAGCCTACAAACCTAGCACGAGACAAAGTAAACGGAAAACATAAAAATATAATATAAATGCAAAAAAAAAAGCACCAATAAAATATTACGCCACAATATGTATGGTGGTCACTCGTATAGTTATTGGCACAAAGTAATTTTGGAAAATGTCGTACACAATACTATAATGTTTGATTATGAGTTTTAGGGATATTTTCGCTTAATCATTTGGTTACACTGTTATTATTAGCAATCCTTGACGTGTTATCGAATAGTTTATTTGATTTTTCATAATTTTATGTCTTGCCCACGATTTAAGATATTATCATAGAACAATATATTATACAGCTGGTTACTTAACGAAACTTAATTTTTGTTCCACGAAAAGTTGACGATTTTTTCGTAGCAAGAATTATAGTTGGCGCTTTTGCATTAAAGGCGGGTTCACACTACACCGTGTCGTGTAATATAATCACGGTTACCTCAGTTACCAAACTATACCGCATAGTTGAATATATTCAACTTTTGACCGTGTGGTTACATTAAGTATGAACCCGGCTTTATCTGCACATAAATGTAACCACACGGTCAAAAGTTGAATATATTCAACTATGCGGTATCGTTTGGTAACTGTGGTAACCGTGATTATTTTACACGACACGGTATAGTGTGAACCCCTATTAATAGTGATTTCTTTTGGTACTACAAAATATATACAATATCATTGGGTTGTTGATCGATGCTAACCACGGTTAACACTCCGGGTTCCACTATACACGTTTGCCGGGTACACAAAAAATGTTCAGCTATGTCCAACAACACGGTATCGTGGTTAATCGTGTGGTAACTTAACTCGACCAACCAATCACAGCAAAGTGTTTGTATGCACGTACACACGTAAGTGTATATAGTAATTATTGGAAACCCGCCTCTAGTAGCTTTTCTCCTATCGTTGATGGGCTGTTTAATAACAGATTTTTCGCGCACCACTTTTGTTATGAATGTGCATGTCGAGTAACCTAAATATCTTAAATCGATGTCGTACTTAATGGAAGGAACAGGTTAATTGCCAATAACTATACACAAGTTACCGTATTATTGCACTGTTATGTATTCAAATTAATCGGTTTTAGTTAAGTTACGAATAATTAACATCATTGTAAATAATATTACTAGAAAATTACAACGGGGAAAAAGAAAAACTGCAGAGTATAATGGCTTACGGTAGAGTGACTAAATTGGATCCAGTGGCTGTAGTCAAAGTTCCCAATAACCAGAAAACCTCCAATGAATGTACCGACGAAGAACTCATTAACGCAGGTAAGATAGTTGAACAATTTACAGTTTGTTTAACATAACAAATAAAACAAGCATTTTATATGGGTCATTAAAATACAATAATGATAAATAGGTATTTAAAATGTTGAAGTCGTCAATGCGTACCAAAGCTTATACATAATACACTTATTCATAAATAGTCATAAATATTAATAAGTGTAATGAACGTAGTATAATGGTAATAGTATAGTAATAATATTATTGTCTAAAGTGTTTCCACGAAATTAAAATTATATTTATGGTCTCATATTGTGCCTAAACTTTGGAATTACGATTGCATATACCTACTAACCCTGATAACTATATCGAAATATACATAACTAAAGTAAGGAGGTATTTGAATTAGTTTAAAAGTGAGTTTGCATGTTTATGTACTCTAAAAATACGAAAACCATTTACAAAGTTTTTTATGTTGATTAATATTTATTGTTTTAATACCTATAAAAAACAAATTTCGAGTTAAAGATAAATAATAACTGTCGCAACAGATGTATTATTAGGTTTCTTTATTGAGATTAAGTGTTTTAAAAGCTACGTGTTTGAAATCAGTTATTATTTTTTCTGTACATTTTTACATTCTTATTGGTAATACTAAAATATTAAAATGCATTATATCAAAATACATGAATGAAAAATGTTAACGTGTGTCTGAATAAATTGGGTCTGGGTACAATAAAACACAAAAAACAATTTTTGATTTACCCGTAGTGTTACTCTGAAAACAAGTTAAATAATTTGTTTTTTTTAAATACATTTTTTTGTTCATTAATATAATCTAAGTTGTACTTTATTCAAAGATAATTAAAAAAAGTTTAAAAAAAAAACAATTATTATTAATAAATTTACAAATTAGATGTACGATCGTCTAGATACCAAATTAGAAATTAAATTAAATTAAATTTTTTTTTTTATAAAGAACCATTATTAATTTCATTAATAGAACATATAGTTTTTAAAACCTCCGTGACACAATAATTGCATTCGCATATTTTATACACCAACTACCTACTATAGTACTATAGTATAACCAGTAACCCACGTTAAATAAACGCAGGATTGAACATTAAAATAATTTACATCGAAAGATATTACCCCACGGTAATGGATTATAAAATAATTTGTCTCATAATTTCAATATTCTAATATACCTACTGAGTTCGTGAAAATGGAATTTCGTTGGCCTTTATATATTGCTATTGAGCTACACTAAATACATTTAATACATTTATTTTCTTACCAATGGTAAGGTTTTCTAGTAGTATTTCGTATACACTGTTTATATTATTATATACAATACAACAATAATTATTGGTATAAACTATAATCCAGTAAAAGTTTTACTTAAAATGTATTGATTTATGAATATTACGATACCTCAAACCCGCCCTAAATAACGAGTTCAACAATTTAAACAATTCAAAAAAAATCATATTGTAAAAAAAACTTTAACGGTGGACGATGGCCGCCTTCTCTATAATGCTAAATAGTTTTCAAAAATAAAAATAGCATAAGTACAAAGCTTGAAAATTAGGGCCCAGCTCAAATATCAAATGTACCTACCTACCTATATTGTCCATAAGATCGGTGCTGTGTTTACTTATACACTTTATACTAATCAAAAAAATCGATGCCTTGTTAGTTGTTTACAACTGACCTTTTTATAACTCGACTTAGCCGTGCCCAGTTTACAAACGCTTTTCAAACTCAAAGCATATGAATATTTTCAAAATTCAATTGTGTACATTGTAGCTGTACTGCCAGGTATATACCAGGGTTTGTTTCGTGGCTTATCGCAAACAAGTTCAAACGAATGAAAAAGAAAATGATTTTCAAATGTAACATTACACCCCCGTTAGTTCTATGAAATGCTTTTGGGATAAGATATCACACAAATACAGATTGTTAATTTAAACAGAACTTTTAATTAGTATCACATGATAATAAATTGTATGATAATATTTTTTTTTTTTAAATGTTCTTAAACGTGATATAAAACAATTTCTTAGAATGATTTTAAACAATGTTTTGGGAATGCCGAGACGCAGAGTTCTAGTACTACCTTAGTACCTTCGTAAGATAAATAAATAAATTATAAAATACATATTAACATTATTACACATAATAAATAATATACATTTTACCATATTTTGCTGAATACCGAATTTGGTATTCATGAGATGAAAATTATACACATGTTTACATGGGTATAAAAATAAATCGTTGGGATGCAAAATATAAATGCACACGTGGTTGAATCCCATAAATTACTTGAGTGGAAACGAACCCCAAACAAATGTGACAACTGTATCAGTATGAAAATGTTATATTTTTGAACAGAAAATCATATTTAATGTAGGGAAATATCCGTGGGGTACCGCTATAATTAAATAGTGAGATTTAATATGCAACGCACTGCAGGTAATTACTTTTAAAGAACTATTGATTTTCAGATTTAAATTAAAAATGTATAAGCACTTCTATTATAATCTAAAAAAACAGTGAAAAAATAGTAAAAAAAAAAAAACATACGATATAAGATCATTTGTTATAGACATTTTTGATTATTGTAAATTATAATACGATTTTTCCATTAATATTATTATGCAATTAAACATTTTTGTTTAATTTCGTTTATCTTATGCATTCAGAAAATCGATAAGAATTTGTTATTAAAATCTATAATATCATATTCAGTAAAATTATTGATAACCGATATAAGTAATATTTACTATACTACAATAACTGTACACTACCATGTCACTAGTTACTCTTAACGTACAATAGTGACTGACGACAGGCCTAAAGTTTGTTCAATAAATCACGATAATTTGATTTCAGAAACTACTTTAAAATGTGTACAGTGTTTGCTTTTAATTTTAACAGTAGACGTTCAATGCCAACTAACTTCCACATGAGCATTTTTGCCCTGAGGTCACCTTTAGCTGTGGGTATCGTTCGAATAAAAGCTTAAATGATTTGTGTTTGTGCAGAGTGTGTGTTTTCGACGCGATTTTATTTCATTTGAGTTTTGAATTTTGTATTTTTTTGTAATTAAATATTTTGAAATAGTTTTCAACGAATAAAATGTTGTTTTTTCCATCACGCTCGCAGGACACCACTATTATACAAAATTAATTAAAACACAATTTTATCTGGCATTTTATAACTGATAAATAAGGAAAAAACAATTTATTAAACAATTAATTAGTTGCATTTTTTAATATGATTCAGTTAAATTAAAAGTTTATTAATGGTTTTTGGAATTCATCCTATTAAATCCAGTCTTTCTCGATATTGATACCTACACAATTTCCAAGGAATATACGTGTAAGTGGTGACACTGTGACAGTTAATGTTCAGAAAATGTTGTAGGTATATAGTAATAATAAATGTAAACTAATACTTCAAAGATAATATTATATTATATTATGTAAATTATGAGCTTCACTTTTGTTTATTATAAAGTTACGATTTCCTATAATTCAGAAAAATTGTATATCAATTGAATTTCTTTCTAAGCTAAGTTATTTAACGTTTCATCTCTGCATTTAAATTATTTACACTAAAATACAATATAAAATAAGTAGTTCACTTATACGTTACCTATACCATAGCTGTCCTGTCCAACGTTGTCCGTGTCAAAGTTTTTTTTTTAACTTTTTTGTATGCCATATTTCTACCAAATATTATAATAGGAGTTAATGTACCGACTGCAACCATTTAAAATATAAAACATTGAATGTTGGTTTTTCATGACCTGAAAAAAATGTAAGTTGAAAATAGGCTTAAAAATGTTCTCCTTATTGATATACTCCATCGGTAAAAAAAAACCGCAGACTACTTATCGGATGAGTGGTCCTCGATATGATCATTGGAATCAAAGAATCTCAATTTCACGTTTATGTATATAGGTTCTATTACCTTATGGTAATGACATTACAATATTGCAAATATTGTTGGACGGGAGTAAATATACTTCTTTTTATAACAATAATATATTTTCGGTATTAATTTATACTTATATAAACATAAATATACAATTTAGACGTCTTTGATCCATTGAATTTATTCATCTTGTTGATATAATACAAGACGACGTGTTAACGAATTTATTTGAAAACGTAATTTACTTGAATATATTTTCCTTCCTTTCGGAACAGAGATATTGTCTTTAACAATACCAATTTTATTTTATTCTATTTTATATACGAAATGTACTGAGGATAATTCATTTCAGTTATACATTCAGCTATATTGTTTAATAATGACTGTTATATTGTGATAGGATCTATAAAATAATACAATAAAATTACATTATTGCATATTATCCAAAATTCCGAAGTACATTTTCATTGTGCATATTATAATTTATTATGACTAATGATCAGTAATCCACTTAAACGATATAGAATGAATTTTGATTTAAAATATTGTGTTTGATTTCAATAAAGTGTGTTAGGATTATATTGGAAAATCGAGTATTGTACACACTTAATCGGTGTATTGTTTATCATTATTTCACTCGAAAACGCGCCATTTTCCGACTATTTACTACATACATGAGTACATCATATTATATACTCAACATCATGAACGCAATGATAAGTATACATGTATAATTAGAATAAAATAAAAACGACGATAAATGGAAAATCAATTCATTACAATATTTGTGTTGTCTATATTTAATTTGAGTTCTCAATGAGTCAAATAAATAGTGATAAATAGACATTTTCGTAAAATAATTATTCTGCCATAGTTTGTATATAAAACTGTGGCAGTTTTTAAACGTCTGTTTTTATAACGTAGAATAGTGTTATCTCTATTGTGAAAATCGAAAAATGACCTATTCAAAAGTATCAAATAGATTACATTTCAGTCGATGGTATTAGGTGTACTTGGAACTTTTGGAGAACTGATTCTATTCAAAAGCAGAGTGTCCGAGGAAAAAGATTTAAAAAAAAAAGAATCTCTGTAAGAGT